GCGGGTGTAGGTAGAGACTCATTTTTCCAAATCTGTTAGTGCAGAGCTTCTCTGGCCAAGCCTCCTGATTACTAGTGCAGTTTGACACACGTGAACGCACTGAGAAATCTGCTGGAAAGTCAGGGCTTAGTTTACCTGGTTTGGGAATCTGGAGAAGCTCGTTGAAAGCAGTCTCATCGTTGACTGGCATTGTTGTTTTCTGACATCTTTTACAAATAAGATATTTATCTTGGAGCTTTGAAAATTTTTTAAATTCTTCCTTTACTGTATGCCTATATCCAGTTTTTACTATTGTGCTGAGTCATCCTAGGCAGAACTTCCATCCAGCTGGGCTTGGTATAACCTGGCAGGACAGGCCACCCCGGGATTCCCTACCGAGCACCTCGCTCTTGTCAGTCCAGGCAGCGTGATGCTGCAAAGCCAGCCAGGGTTTGGCTTAACAGAAGTGAGACAAAATATGCAATGCTGTCATTTCTCGTACGTGTTTTTACTGAGAACATTCTGTGGAACAGAAGAGGCGAAAAGGTGTACCAGAGGGAAAAAGATGCAGCCCCAGACTGAAGGGGTGGAGGTTCACCTTTTGCATAAGCATGTTTTGAAGATTGTCTGCTTTTATATGGTGGACAGAGATGACCCTGGAAATACGTCGTTGGCTTCATCTGTCATGTATGCCATAATTTAAGAATGTATTTCCCTGTTCTAGTTAGCCTGTTACAGGGCACTGTAAAAAACTTTTAAATGAACAAAATCTTACCCGGAACTTTTACAACAGTTAAAAAACAAAAGTTAATTTTTAATTTTTCATGACCAAGGGAGTACTTTTCATCTGAAACTGATGGAACAGTCTGGTAACCGTTTTTTGAGAACAGCCCACATTGTTAGAACGTGAAACTTGATCATTGCTGACTTCAGTTTAGCGGTTTCATGTTGACCCTGCCAGGCCCGATCTGGCTCCTGCAGAGCCACTGCGTCTGCTGTAACCTTAGGTTGCAGGCAGTGCCAGACTTAAGCTGGCACTTGTTGCAAGTTTGTTTGATTTTTGCAAGGGAGGGAAGTATTAGTTGGCTTAACTCCTTGAACCAACGTGGTCGTCAAGGATCACAGAAGTGCAAGAGAAAGAAGAAAAAAATGCGGATTTTAGCTGGGAAGGGCAGGGTTGCAGCAGTGCTGACTTAGATTTGCTTAACCTTTCAGACTGACACCCTTAGGGTTATGATGCAGAAGCAAGGACAGCTTATCTTGGTATGGGTGCAGTGAGTTCTGTCCTCGGCTCTCTGTGCTGCTTCTCTATCTGAAACTGCAAATCGAGGAGAGGGCAGGAAAGCTGCTTTTATAGTGATTACTAGTCTGCCACAGCTTGCTGCCCTGCATGTTGAGGTGACCCCAGGTCAGTTTGCCTCCGTGTACCGTGATACACATTGAAACAGTTTGGCTGAATCTTCCCTGCGGCTGGGCCCTTAAATGCTGTGGAAATATAAATTACAGGAACAGACACAGGAACCTTTATTTATTGCCTTACTTTTATCTCAGTGAGGAAAGGGCAACTATTTCAGAGTTTCTGTTCTCTTTGTTCTTTATACCTGAGAAAATGAGGAATGTCTGGGGAGATGAATCTAAAATAGAAGTACCGGCTGTATCTGGTAGAGAAAGCAAAAATACTCAAATCTACATTCCTGTGGCATGTTATGTTTCTGTCTTCTACGAAAATATAGTCCAACTAGTGACATGCATGTCCAGCCTGCCTTCTTTGGAGGAGGTGAAGATGTGTTTGCTCCCATAACAGTTGAACACTTTCTGCTGTGTGTGGCATGTGCACGTATGCCTGTGGCAGCCCATGTTGGGGCAAAGCAGAAACAAAGGCATTTTTCCACTGTATGTGTGTGGGACAGTAGTAAGCCTGGAAGTTGTCACTCCTGTATCTTCCCGAGTCCTGAACCTGCCATCCAGTCCTGTAGCCACAGAGTGGAGTGCATAAAGATAATAAGTATTTTTAGTTAGATGTTGTTCCATGTTTATCTGTTCATTTATATTATCAAATTGACCAGTATGTTTGCATGCGTATGTGACTTTTGTGACAATTACATGCAGATACTTATTAAGGAAGCTGCTATATAAAAACCAGTAGGAGGTGGTGGTTGTGATGAGAGATGTACAGGCTAAAAAAATCAAATTTGTGAATGATTTCCTTAAAAGGAGATGCTGACATCTGAAAAACAAAGTCCTGTAATTAGGGTTTGGCTTTCTGCTTGCTCTGGTCTTAATATGCCTGAGTGCCTTGGCACAAACCTAGTGGTTGTTGTATCTACAAGATTGAGAAGGCTTTTTTCAGCAGAAGTTATGAAAATACCAAAGCAATGGAAAATAAACAAAGCTCTTTGGATAGGTTGTAGTCCTTCTGATCTCTTTCGGATATGTATTTCATTGTCATGTGCACTGTATTAAATTTAGAAGGGGTTATTTAATGCTAAAGGGCTGAACTAGACATCAAAACTTGGGATTTTTACCTTTGTAGATTGGTTTTAGAGTTTATATTTTCCTCTGACAAACCTATTCTTAAGATGGAATCCTGAGAATTAAATTGAGTCTTGTTCTTGTTTACTTTTAGATGCCTGTCTCAGATGTCAAGCTGAAAACAAACAAGAAGATTGTGTTGGTATGTAGTGATTTCATTCGCTTGTTTTTCAATTGAAGCTTATCTCAGTAGGGTGCATTTTGAAGTTTGAAGGGAATACTGATTTTATTAATGCTCAAAAGTAAACCGGTGTTTCGTTCTGCATTGTGTCATCTTTTTACATTAGTAATACTTTATGGTTTGTTTTCAAGCACTAATAAAATTAGTTTTCACTTCTCATATGCTGTAGAACAAAACAGCTTCAAATTTGCAGTCAACTCATATGCAACTGAGAGGTTTAAATTTCTCTCACCCTGAGTAGAATTGAGGAGATGATAATGTACACTTTTGAAGTGGGTGGGAAAGGCTAGTCTTTCTTCTGAGATGCATGCCAGAAGACACAATGGTAAAACTAATAAAAATCCTCTATTCTGAAATAAGTGTTTGTCTGAGTTAGAAAGTGCTATTTTTCCTAGTCCTAATTCAGATGTAGTGGAAGCAATTGTTTGTTTGTTTACATTGAAAAAATGGAATCACTTGAGTTTGCTATGAGGCAACATAGCAATGTACTTTCATATTGCATACCAACGCATGCAAAAGCAAATATTAATTTAATTCTGATGTATTGAAATCGGAAATAATGAAAATTGTCTTGAAAGAGTTTGCTTTAAAGGTTTAAGTTGGTGGTAAACCTTTCCACACCCTTTGTTCTTTCTGTTTTGAAGTATATTCTCTCAAACTTAATCCACTGTTGTTTTTGATGATTGTTTTAATAAAAACGTTAATTTTCAGTTCCAGATAGCTTAACTGGCTTGTTAAGTGTCCTATTTAAGATAGTCAGAAAAAAAAGCATAATTTGCAACACTGCTTTGATTGGTACCCTTGTATTCCAATCAGGAGAATGTGAACTAAGAAGGGAAAAAAGCAAAGTAACCAATATTATTCAGGAGCAGATGGACAATAGATAACCCTTTTTGTTGTGCTGAAACAACAATAGCCTGTGAATAACTTCTAGTCTAAGATCCCATTTTGAGGCTATATACTGTGCCAAATGATCCTCCTTAATATAGAACATTTAAGTTTAAACACTGCATTTCTGATGAGAATTTGGTGATATGCTCTTGAGTGATACTAAGTCAGTAGCGCATTGGCTATATTTTGGTACTGGGGAAGTTAAAGTGAAGAACTTAGTTGCACTTATTTCCTGGACAGAATTGATAAATGTGTTTATACATTCACAAAACTGTGTCACTTTATACGAGAAGGTGAGAATATATGCATTTCTTTTTTTGTAATTGGAGATAAATAAAAGGGTTGGTAACAGAGAAGTGACTATCATCAGAATGACCGTAATAATCCAATCTCAGTGAATAATTCAGTGATGACCCATTTTGTCTCTAAAGGTTGCAGTGGTTATAAACATCTGAGAATGATAGTTTGGACCTTGCTGCAGGTTGTGATTGGACAGAGGATTGTGACTGGAACATGTTCTTTCTTCTCTTTCAGTGGTTTGGGGAGAATGCAATCATTCCTTCCACAACTGCTGCATGTCCTTGTGGGTGAAACAGAATAACCGCTGTCCCCTCTGCCAGCAGGACTGGGTAGTCCAGAGAATAGGCAAATAAAAACACTGGAATTTTTTCTTCTGTTGAACTTGTTGAAATAGCATATGTCTTACGCCATATGCTCATACAAAAGAATGGAACATGTCGATCATGGCATGATTTATTTGGCGTGTCTGCTACAAGAACAGTGTGGTTTTGTTGTATGCTCTTTGCTGTACGGGGCAGCAATGGTCAGTCTTACTGCAGGTATTTCCACAACTGAAGAGAGAGACACTACATTAACACATGTATCTGTTACCATATGACTGTTAACTGTATAAGAGCATAGAAATGTGGTGGTGCAGATTATACCCTAAATACAGTCTAATTAATGTTTTTGCATAGATAAATTAATTCATAAAAAAAGGCCGACCTTACCTGTAAGTCTGATACGCTGCATAGTTTACTGCCGGGATAAAAAGTTTTTTTTCTAAGTAATATTGTGTACAAAAGTGAGTTTTTTTAGAAACTATTCTGTTTTTTAATCTAAAATTAAGTGTGTGAAGCATCCTTTATGTGCTTTTTCCATCACACTATGTTAAACATTTCTAATTTAGGTTTTCTTTATGACTTTAGAAAATTTTGTTTTGTTGTATCTCCGTCTGTTGCTGTATTGTATTCTGTACATGATTTCTACAACCATAGTATTAAAGTTTACCCGTATTAATAATTTTTTAATTTATATTTCTGTTAAAGATCATGGAGGCGTATTTTTTATCCAGAGACTTTTGGTACAAAGACACGTATTTGATATCAGTTAACCAGTGGCATAAACAATCTTGCTGGTTAGCTGACTAATACAGAAAGCAAACAAAACTGATAAATAATATGCCAAGGAAAGCAGGTACTAATTAAACCTAGGGAAAAATGCTAAATTGTGGTTTCATTAAAATTCAGTTAAAAAGCATTTCTTTATTGTCATTTTATTGGTTACAGTGTTTTGGAAGTGGGAGAAAGTTGGTGCTTGCTTCTGACTTTGTCTTTTCCTAAATATCCAAAGTAGTATCTGTTAATCTGGATACATGATTTAGTTTGTTTGTGTTTTTTTTAATATATGTAATAGGTTGAATTGCTGCTTTAAGTCTGTAACAAATTCAGGTTTAATAAAATGGTTAATAAACCTGGGTGAAATTGAAGCAGTATCTTATGCATATCATTGTTTACTTCAAAATTATAATCTTGAATGTTTCAGTTTAATGCATTTCTCAAGAGATGTATTTCTGTCTAGTTCTGTTTATTTTAAGTATACTTAAAGAGGTTTATCTTCACGATGTTTTTGTTTAATACTTGTAATTTTGTTTATAGAATGTTTTGAATTTTTTAAATACAGCTTTTGTCTCATTACACACTGAGGTAAAAAAATCCTGTGTCACTGTTACAGTGTATCACATCAGTTGTTGTTATACCAGATGATGTCTGTCTTGAAACTGAAAGCAAATATAAAATAGATTAACACTAGTAGTGAAGCACCTGTAGTATTTATGTTGTTGTGGAGTATTTCTGTTTGTGTAAAAGGAATCTTCCTAAAATGATTGCAAAAGAAAATCTGGTTGGATGTGGAAATAATTTTTAGCTGCCAAAGTTAAACTGTGTGTTATCTACCACTTAATTTCTCTGCCAGATTTTGGTCCCAGACTCCATCCTCTAACCACCATTAATTCCATCTAGTCCCATCAGAGGACTTCTTCCTTCGTTTTGCTTTGGTTTATAGGTGAATATGGAAAGTACCAAAGCAATTTTCACCCTGCTTTCAGTTCAAGTCATGTGCATGACAAGAATAGGTGAGAATCATAATTGTAGAAAAATTTTCCAAAGTGTTGGCTCAAGCAGGTATTAACACAGATGAAGTATTAGGAAACTTAATGTTGCAGTCAAAGCAGCTGATATTTGTGTATATTTGAATATTATAAGTAGCTTGTTTGACCAGTAATTAGAGGTTCACCTAGGATATAAGGTAGTGCATTTTAAGTCCTGCATATTTTCTGTGATCTAGAGATTATCTTAAGTCCCAGTCTTTCTGTGACATTTGCACCAGAGAAATTTTCTTCTGTTCCAAATCATACCCTGATATTCCATTAGCATAGTTCTAAAAGTACCTGTTTTTAGTCCTGAATTTGTTCACCTCTTGTACATGCAAAATAAATCAGTTTTGCTTCTCACCCAAACATACTGTTTTATGAGTAGATAACACTAATTTAAATAGCTGTTATCGACTACAGTAGATTAATGCTGATCTGCTTTTCTCCACTGTCTAATAAATGCTGGGCAGATTTGAATTAATACAGCAAAACTAGCTAGAGTCTTCTCTCAAAAGTGACTGGAGTGCTGAATATGTGTCCAAAAATTATATTGTTTCACTTTCCTTTTTGTGAAGTTACGTTCTTTTAAAGTTCATATTCGTAGAAATTGGGAAAGATTTGAATTGGCAGAGCAGAATGATTTTTATTTTTTTTTCAGAGCTGTGAATGTGTCTTTCTTATGCAAACACCATAAACATTAGGTATTTTTTTTATTTGCTTAGACATGAATATATCAATAGCTGGTGGAGCTTGAGTTAATCCTTAGGTCCCCAACTACCAGCCATTCATACTGCAAATGTTTGAGCTGTGGTGGCTAAACGTAAAAAAGACACTGCTGAATTTTAGGACCTGAAATTAAAGCTGCTATTACCTCCTTTCTTGCCTTTCTATACCCAGGATATTATGGGCGTATGTTGGTGTGGGCATCGTTTTCAGGAGAGCCACCAGCAGAATTCTACATTTCTGCCTTTGACTTTTCTCAGTCTTGCTTACTCTGCTGGCTGCATTATTTAGCCCTTTATGTAACCTCCTCCTGCCCTGTGCGTGCATTCACCTGGCAGAATTAGTGATTGCTGTACAAGCAAGACTTTCAAATACTCTGCTTTAGAGTACACAGTGTTCTCATGCACGCATAGCAGTTTGCGATGGATGGCCCTCTCAATCACAGCTAGAAGAACACTCACACCTCTGATGTAATTTTGTGGAGTATAAGCATGAGTTATATGTCAAATGGATTCAATGCAGACAGGATTAAGCATGTAAAAACAAAACACTGCATAGTAGTAGAGTGATAAAAAGCAGCCAGGAAGGGCTTAGCACGTACTGTAGGGAGTCTGAGAGGTGCCTGTTGTTACTCCTAATGTTTAGCATTTGTGATTCAGCTCTTCAGCTTGCTCTAAGAGTGAGAAAAAAGAAAAGTAAACTTGACCTTGACCTCAAGAGTGCCGCTTGACCCCATTGCTACTGGAAGAATCGTGGAACTGCTTTTCCTGTTCCCATAATACCTTTTCTTATATTTAAAGAAAGTTTTAGCAGCCAAATCACATGACCCTACAGCAGAAGGGGGCTTAGCCTGGTGAGTGCCACACATGGTTTTTGTTCTTCTGAGAAAAAAATGGGGCACAGACTTCCTGGTAGGCAGCCAGTGAGTGAAGTCAGGTGGAATTTGCCTTCACTTGGTTGTAATCAGCTTTATCCCTTTGTTGATGCCGCCTCAGCCATACGCCGTTGCTGCCTTGTCATCCTGCTGCTTACTGTCATAAAGCTCAGCAGGGAAAATAAACTGAGGCCACCATAACACATAGAAGTGTCTTGGCAAGATTTGGCTGGTCATCTGAAGTGCTTTTCCTTTTTCTGTGGGTAGGAGATGAAGTCAGAACTGTATGTTGTTTCGTATATAGGGATCATTATTTTTAGACCACCAGCAGGTCTTAGCATCTGCATGTAATCCGCTCAGAGCCACATGAGGCATCAAGGTTTGCACAAAGCGTCTGTGGAGCTCAGAGTCATGGATATTGAGTGTAACTTGAGTTTTGGAAGCGTGGATGCTCAAAGCACTGAATTGTGTGATAATTTAAAGCTCAGTGACTCATGTTCATCTATGTCAACTTCTATTTCAGGCATGGCAGATCTGTGATAAAAGCTTTTTATAAAACCAGATCCCAGCTTATGTAATTCTTGGTGCATTGGTGTTCTGTGTGTCGAGCGAGGGAGATACAAGGCTGTCCTATTAACTGTAGCCTGAGTGCCACTGGGCTTGGAGCATGCATGTATGGCAGCCAGGAACCTCTGCATGCTCTCAGCAGCCGGGGACAGTGCATCTAGAGGGACTCTTGGTACATTGAAAGGTTATCAGGGCCATTCTGAAAACCACCAGCTGAACTGCGTGCATTTGGTGCTGCCAGTGAGAAGGTTTGCCTAGGATGTCATCCCTCAGCTATACATAGCAAGCTCAAAGCTCCTTACAGAGAAACCTCTTACCAGTCACTTTCCACAAATGGGGCATATACCTAAAGGTACTTAGTGAAAATCCTTGAGAGGTATTTAATGCAAAAAGCAGTTAGTGTCTCTGGTGTTTTGCAGAAGCCCCCACACACCACTAGCAGGGAGAGGTACAGGGCAGGTACAGCACAGCACTTGGGCCAGTTATTTGTTTTGTCTCAACCAGGCTCTGCCGCCCCGAGAGCTTGCCAAGATCTGCAGGCAAGGAAGGGCGGAGATGGAGACACCAAGGAGATGCAAAAGAGACGTAAGAGCCTCTCACTGCCCAAGATTGATCAATGCAGAGAGGTTAGACAGTCTGTTGTTGCTGATTATGACAGCATTTGTGAGCAGCAGCCCATTGGCAAGAAATTCTTCAGAGACTTCTTGGAGACTGTGCCAGAATATTTGGTAGCTAGGGACTTCCTGGATGAGGTGTCAAACTGGGAGTTAGCAGAGGACAATGTCAAGAGCAGTACCATGGAGAATATGATCACCAATTTTCTTAAGGCAGGCTCCAAAAACTATCTGGCTTTCATGAGCTCTGACTTGGGCAGCAAATGCCAGGAAGCTACTGCGAAAGACTATGAGAATGTCATGCAGCTGGCCAAGGAGGAAACCAAACTCTTCCTTAAAGGCCAGCCTTTCCAGGACTTCCAGACCAGCCCCTTCTATGACAAATTCCTCCAATGGAAAGTTTTTGAGAAGCAGCCGGTAACTGAGAAATACTTCTATGAGTTC